TTTTTTGTTTTATAATTATAGCAATATTCTTATCACGTCTCATATTATAATGAATTATTAGTTAATTATTATTGTCAATAAAGTTATTTCTTTAATTTTTGCTCTTTGTTTTTTTCTTTGCTAGATAATTTTTAAGGCCTTAAGACTGTAACTAATAGTTTTTGTAATTGTATTTCTGTGAATATTTTCTGTAGTTCTGTAATTTTTTGTTAGTTTATTTCGACCTGTTTCACCTGTACCTCCCAGACGAGTGTTTCTCTCATGGGTTAATTCTTAGAAAAAATGTGTTTAAATTAAAATATATATATATGATATTTTTTTTAATGGATAAGAATAATCCAGCATTTGTATTTTCCAATACTATTGCATGGTTTCCACTGTTAAAAATGCATTAATTTTAACAATAATTTCACAATAAATCATGTGATATCTTAAAAGAAAACTAATTTTCAACATTTTTGTCGCAAACGTTTAGCAGTTTTACTATGAATCTAACTAATATGTTTTTTTCTTCTTTTTAGTAAAACTTGTTATAAAAGAGAAGATATAATTGATAAGAAAAAGGAAGAAAGAAGGATGTTCAACACAGAGATATACAAAAAACAAATGGCTGCACGAAGTCCAGCTCTCGTTGCCTTGGAAACAATAGTCATGGTTACGATTACCGTCACGGCGTTGCTAGGCAACCTCATGGTTTGCTGGGCCGTGTATCGAAGCAAGAAGCTGCGAACAGTTCCAAACTTGTACATCATTGCATTAGCCATTTTTGATATTTTAATGGCGATACTCTGTATGCCGTTGTCAGTTGAAGTCTTCATCACTGCAAACTTCGCTCACGGCGAAAATGCTGTACAATTCCAGGGATTTTTCTCGTTCTTCTTGTCTCTCGCCTCGCTTCAAACTATGACAGCAATGGCAATAAACCGGTTTTACCGGATTGTCAAACCGGTATTGTTCCGGAAGTACCTTCAATCTCTTCAGAGTACTGTTCTGTCGTTGGTAATGATCGTCGTTCTTGCCACATTTGGTGCGTGTTTGCCATTGATCTTCGGCTTTGCCAAATATACTTTCCATTACGGGAAAGTGTTCTCATACATCGACTACTCTACGCCATTAGCCGCCTACATCTACACTATCTTCCTCAAGATCTGCTACATTACTATCCCAACTCTCATCACTTTATTCTGCTACTATAGAATCTTCGCTACAGTGAAAAACCACACGAAGGAATTGATGGCCAACCAACGGAACAACTCCGGATCCACGGGCGGCGGGCTGTCTATGAACGTGGAGGATGTCAACATCACCAAAGCACTTTTCGCTACTGTTCTTGGCTTTGTCGCGTGTTGGACGCCAGTAGCTGTCGTCGACATGATTGACACCTTCTCTAACCATGCCCTAAACAACCCTCGCGAGGTTTATTTATTTTACATCTACATGGGTTATGGAAGTAGTTCTATTAATCCTTTTATTTATGGCATACTTAACCGATCCTTCAAACGAGAGTTYATCAAGATATTTCGACTTCATTTTTCAAAGAGATTTAGCAATGAGACTGAACTATCGAACTCAGCTAACAAGGTCGCACCAATGTTATTGCTGTTCGTGCGACCAGCGAATGCTAATGACTTTGTTCGTAATAATTCTGATGCCAACAAGTAGATAACACCGCTGCTGTTTCATATACACCTAATTCAAAAAACGTTGTCATCGCCAAAGGCGATAGGCAACAGGCGATAGGCGAAAAGCTATAGGATATATGTCATTCCAAGATCCAAGAATAGATGGAATGACTTGTGTTTCTGCTTCTTATTCTCGTCAAGAACATGGACCTTCGTGCTGAGACTGATTCAATGTTCTTTGTATTCAACGAAACCATTTCCATGTCGGAATGACCTATCGCCTATCGCCTTTGTCGATGACAACGTTTTTTGAAATAGGTGTATAAATATGAAGTTTCAGGGAATCAAGGTTAGCATGGCGTTAGCGCATTCGCCTCTCACCTTGGGGTMTCGGGTTTGATTCCTGAACTCGGCATCACACGAGTCTATCGAGTTCGTTGCTGCTCTCCATTGATTCGGTTTTTTTCTCCGGTACCCTCCGGTCCTTTTCTATCCTTGCTCGCAGGGTATTTCTCCGGCTTTCCTTTAGTCGTAAAACCTAAAACACTAGCTTTTTTTAGATCCTCACAGGGGTTTCTGTGTCCATTCAGGCTCACAAACATTGCAATTCAAGGAGAGCACATGCGTAATTAGTTTTACACAACAAAATGACCAGAGTATTAAGAAAAGATCGTTTATTTACGACAAAATATACACATCTGTATCTAAGGTCAAAATAAATTAACGAATAATTAATGTACAATTGTTGCAATTCTGCGACATTTAACCTGAAGTTAAATATTCTTTTCTCTCATTGGTTCGATAAAAGTTAGTCCTCGTAATTGCCTATAATATTGTTGTACTATAATCAGTATTCTTCGTAGAATTTTCACTTTAGAAATTTACGAACAATCTCCATTCTTGAAGCCTTCTGCTTGAAGGAATACGGAATATGTAACCAAACAGACCTTATGACTTGGTCGTAATGTTTTCTCACTTCAGACCTCCTGTCATTCTATAGAGTATTATTTCTTTGTTTAACGGTTACACACGAGAAGGCACATCAAAATGGATACAACACAAACAAAGAATATAATTCTCAAGGGATTGACTCGTGGTCTGAATCGAAGCTAGTGAATGCGCGTGGAAATGTGAAAGAGGCTGAGTCTTGTAATTAAATATAAACTGTAAGCTATATTAAATATAAAGTGTATTGCGCATGCGCTGCTGTATCTATAAAATGCTATCAAAATATCGATGTGAATATGTGGGGTGATAATTCTTACATGTGCTCAGAAATCAATTTTAAATATATTTGATGTCTTGTGGTGGACGCAAGGTTTTAAAGTACATGACATATTCATCATGCTTGCTAGGTGGTTATCACGTGCTTACTTTGTGTTTGTCATGTGCTGACATTGAGATTTGGTCACGTGCGTACTTGATGCTTGTCACGTGCTAACATGGGATTGATCGAGTATTGATCACCTGCGTACTTGGTGCTTGTCACGTGCTAACATGGGGATTGACCACGTATTGATCACGTGCGTACTTGGTGCTTGTCACATGCTAACACGTAAACAAACGCCCCCCTATTTGCTGGAGGATTATCACGTGATTACAAAAGACAAATCACGTATCGATCACGTGACGCGTAAATTAGACAGAAGTCTTTTTTCTGTAGACTCCTTCTTTCCCAGAAGGTCGTATAATTGCTTCTGGTTTCCTCAGGCCACGCAGCTTTCGACTTTTCGGTTTAATATAAGATTTAGAAACTAGATGATATAAGCTGGTAGTGGATTGGAATCGAGAAGGTTCCCTGTCCAGGCTGACAGCAGAACCGCATGCTTGCAATTCAATCTCTTCCAAATCAACCCTACCTCGATGTTCCGCAGGAACACTACGATTACCATTCATATTTTTACGATTTTGAACAGGAAAGTTTAAAATATCGTAGACATCGACCCCCAGATTGTCATGTGACTGAGCCTCTGCGTCTGAAACTTTGATCCTTGGTTCCGACGACTGAGGGATTGGTGATTGGGACCCAGTATCAGAAACATCAACGGCTGGGTTAACACGCGAGGAGGGCAGAGACTGGGACCTAGAAGAAGACCTTGACGTTTGTTTATGCGGGTTTGCCTCGTTTCGATGCGACTTGGTGGCCTCGGCCGAGACATGCGCAATACTTGCTGTGACGTTGACGATGGCAGCGTGCATCTTTTCCTTGTTCCGGTTTTTACCGTAACCGTAGAACGTATCATCGGCGTCTCGGATGCTTTTGAAGATGAGTATTGTTACGACAAAGAGAACGATGAAGGCGAAGGTGAATGGAATCCCGATGAGAATACCAAGTTCTGTTGACCTGGAGTATGGAGGAGGATAAGAACTACCTGCAGAAATACAAAAATAAAGAATAGGAGTTTTACGGCAGCCATGTTGGAGGGCAGGAACAATGCAATGTTGTTTTTCCATTACAAAAAGGAGAATATTTCTGGGGGTTTTGCCCTACAACATGGTTGCCGTGATACCATACGCGTGACAATCACTTGAACATTAGAGAGTTTTAGATTTACGTTCACGGCAAACGTGAAACGTCAGTTGACCAGTAAAAAATTCTTTTAAATTACTGAATTAAAAGAACCGCAAAAAAGGCCAAGTAGTAGAAAAACAAAAGAGTATTTGCGCTTGCGTATTGCGGTGAGAAGGTTTGTAAAAGGTAAAGTAAAACACACGAAAACTATGAAAACGTGGTCACGTTTGCCGTTTGCGGGGAGAAAAAAAGTCAATCTAAAACTCTCTATTATCAACTTTTTGACTTTGAGCAAAGTTTGGCGGCTTCTGATCGTAGACGACAAGGCAGAGTGATTCTAAAGATGCTAGGGCTAAGTTCTAGACCTTTTCTGAAATAGCGAACATGCTGTATTATGATCTAGCTACAAACATCTTTTGTCCATCAAGCCTTATATGGTGTTCTTCGTAGCGAAGCTGGACCACAATGCATCCGGTTTATCGAACTCAGAAAGGGCGTATAATTCTAGTGTCCATTGGGAGCAGGGTTACCCTAACGTCACATTATGAATGTCGTTTGTGAATTTTGATGAAATGTTTGAAAGATGAAATATTAATGCCTAACCAAGTTATAACGACCTCAACTCACGTTTCTTACAAATGAAATAGTTTTTCTCCATGCACGTGCAATCTTCCCACAATCCTTTAATAATCATTTGTACGCATGCGCCGTTAGCATCCGGCTCTCCCAAGATCCAGTTTTGATAATCCAACTTATTTTCGTCGATCCAGTGAAGTTTGGACGTTGCTTCTCGGCGCTCCATTCCAAGCCACACAAAAGTATTTTTGGGAAATCCAAAATAATCTCTCGAAATGTTAAAAATGAGGTCGTTTTCACTCTTGTTTGTAATTGATATTAGATTAGCGGCGCGATAGGAACATGCTCTCTGCGCATGATTGAATATCATTGGTTCATTCGAAGGGAAGTAGCAATAACTTTCAAATTGAATCCAGCCCATGTCACACTCTCCTGAAAGAAAGCRAAGCGATTGATTATGATCATTATATATGTATTTATATATGTATTTATGTATTTGTAAATAATTTTCTCTTTTTCTTTTTTGATGAATGGAATAAAGATTATTTAAAAAGAAAAAAAAAAAAGAAAAAAGATTATGATCAATAACAACACTGTAATGGATCTCTGCGCACCGGGATGGTTTTCTGTGCACTCAAATGGTTTTCTGTGCACTCAAAGGTTTTCTGTGCACTCAAATGGGTTTTGTCGCACTCAAATGGCTTTCTTTGCACTAGAATGGTTTTCTGTGCACTCAAATGGTTGCTGTGCACTCAAATGGTTTTTGTGCACTTAAATTGTTTTTTGCGCATGGCTTTCTGCCTCTGGACTCAAATATCTACCTCGCTGAAGATCCAAGACAAAAATTATTCATCCAAACCCTTGCAACTGAAAAATGGTCACTTTTTCTCATCTCCTCTTCTTACCTCTATCATAAGACAACTTATTTGCGGTTTTCAAAGATTCCTTTAAACTTTTAGCATTAACACTAGGCAATACTTGAACTGAATTACTCATAACTAGTCTCCCCAGATGCGTAGCATTCAAATGGCTTCCTACATGGCTTGATATTGACGATGTTTCCCATGACGTAGAAAAAGATGGCGACGGAGAAATGAGGGTAGCAAAAGACAAATCCAAGTTTAGAAAAGCGAAAGATAAGCATTGAAGTTCAGTTTGACAAGAACCTTTGAACAAGAGACGGATTACAACGAGAAGTAGAATTTTGATGAGTAACGAATCCGTTCTTGAGAAATTATAAATAATCTTGAATGAACCGCTCAACAAAAACTTGTACAAATCCAACATGGAGTAGTTCTCGGTGACGTTAAGTTTGGTCTCTATCAAACAATTTTGTTGAATTCCTAAATCTGAAAGAAAAAGGGGTCTTGTGAGTGCTTGACGCAGTCAACTACAAAAACGCCATTTTCATATTTATATTTAATAACGCCCACGATAAGTACGTGACAAATTCCCCTTTAACATATCCCCACTCGTGTTCTGCTGGACAAGGACCAGAAGTAGACGAGAGTACACACACACAAACACGCGCGATCAAAAAAAACATTCCAGTCTAACAAAAACAACATTAATGCTTGTTTCACCAGCCACGATTTGTGAGCTCAATCGAGTTCATACGATGTAGTTTCAATCTTTTTAAGATTTGTATTTTTATTGCAAATTGTTATCAAAGATTTGCGATAACTTTTTTTCTTTTTCTTTTTTTTTCTTTTTTTTTTTCTTTTATCGAGCAAATTTTWAAAATATTTTATTGATGAAGGTGTGCGCTTTTCAAATAAAATTAATTCAACTCTCTCAACACAACAGCATTTTATACCTTCTCCAGAAATGAAAACAACGAACTAAGGCAATACAAATCACACACAATATCTCTCTCACACGTCTGTGAAGCAAAACATTAAAAATTTAATTACTTAAACTCAATCAATTTACTCAAAATATATCCTAAAAGACTTACTTTCATTCCAGTAATTTATAGACATTTGGTGGTTATCTAATAGAATTTYGTCGCCTTTCTGTTTCGTAATCGATCCGTTTTCTTCGTCTCTCAGTTCCTTTGATTCATGTTTGTTTTCTTGGACTAAAAATGGCGTTTCTTTGGTTCTAAAAAGAATGAAAAATAAAGAGGTGAGGCAAATACGATTCCGATAGCTCAAAATAAACTGTTGAGCCATCTGTTAGTGATCTGTGGATCGTCAGTCGTCAGACAAGACGGGCGAGTGCATATCGCTTAAGCTTCCGGTGAGGGGAAAATAGGGTGGAGATGGTCACGCTATATCAGGACGAAGGTCACGCTATGAGATGATTGATACCTACAACTAAAGTGTACTTTAAAAGCAAATTTATATTTTATCAAAACATTTGCAGGACTAGGACTCGAAAACTTTCTGGTTATTATCATTACATCACTTCCAGTCATATTTTAGTCAAGATTACTTAATTAACTAGCTTGTTTGAGTTCAAAAAAGGTTAAAAACAAAACTTTATTTCCGTTTGTCTCCAAAATAAAGGAAGTCAAGCCGGCCACACCGTGAAATTTGATCACTAATTGAAGAAAAAAGAAACCTCAAAAAACTCGACCGTCATAAGGTGACAATACATAAATATTTTTATTAGACTTTGCAGCTTCGACCACAAGAATCTTTTCTCTAAAATTACGACTGGCTTATAGCCGGGATTTTYCCCCTTTTTTGTGACCCCAGTAAAGTATTTCAATCTAATGTACTGACAATTCTTTGACGTGCAGATGTTTGAGTCTTCCAGTCTAGGTTTTCAAATGAGCGCGCATGTTCATCGTGGGACATGAAAGCCGGTGCTGAAGGGTAGCAAAGGACAGGGACGAGTAGTAAAGGGTTGAAATATGCTACGAAGGGCACAAAATGCAAACGAAGTGCATTAATAGAGTTAGTTTTCAGTGCTTACCTGTGCGGGTTCGAGTCGATCATCGTAAAACAGTTGTTATCGAATCTCAGATGCCGTGTGTTCAAGGAGACGTGTGACTGAACATGCGAAAGTTGAGAGAGAATAACCTTCACGATCAGTGCGAGTACAACAATGCGCATGACACATTTGCTTTATACCGCTGGGGCGACATCAAGTACCTGAAAACACAAATATTATCTATTAATAATCTATTATTATCTCATCGCATATATTAGATGTTGACAACGCAAACCTGATTATTGTCTAGTGATTGAGCATCGATCTATTTCTTTTGGTCTGCGCTGAAGCCTGTGTTCAGTCTCTTGGTTAGCAATGAAAAACGTATACTGACAATACTAGATCTTTCTTGGAAGCTTGTCGGGCGCTCAGCGGAAGTTCATCGTCAAATAAGACTCGTTAAATCTCAGTAATACAAATAAAAGTCAAGAAATTTGACCACCGTTCGTGGGTTTTATATTTTATACTGAAGTACATGTGCAAAACTTGAAGCTTCTTATCCTGATCAGAATTTAAATTAGCTTTACTTACACAAAAGATTAATAAAAATATCGATTATCTTGCCTTCCTTCCTTCCTTTCATACAGCAAATTCTAGTAAGTCTATAGCCAACATTAATCGATCAGTCACTAAATATTTAACGGTGGAGGGGAGAGAGGTTTTTAGTCCCTTGATGAATCATTACGTTTTTTCATCTACACTGATTATATTTGCCAAGCACTAAATCTGTCAAAACACTAAAATACTGTGTTGAAATTGCGAATGTTTCTTCGCCGAAATACACTTTAGGTTCTACCAATACCTTGTATACCAAAGGTCTCTTAAATTTTGTCAGGTTTAGGAATTTTTGTCAGTAGCTTAAAGCCAAAGTTTTTGCCTTTCTTTAATGGTTGATGTTAAGTTCTTTCATATATAAATGTTTTGAAATACTAAATAATAATTTTCAAACACGATATTTCTATTATCATTCGTTACGGAATTAAAATAGTACCAAAGTATAGCAAAAGCAACCGACGAAAAATACTAAAAACCGCTCACTTAAGAACAAAACGAGCTAAAATTAAACATACCTCAATAAAAGACATGCAGTCTTCAAACTAACTTGTCAGATTAACATGTAGTTTCTTTACGCCGGTTTTAATATTGGTTTTGTCTTTTTCTAACCACGAATTATCTAAAGCCAATAAAATCTTCCTAACTTCTCGGAAATTCCACTAAAATGTAATTCCACGATGACCACACAAATAGCCTTAAATGCACTTTGCGACCACAAAGGCTATCAGGCTTTGAATTATTTATGTTGGTCAATGATTTATTTTGAATAAATCCGTTTATTGAATACAACCATTTTGCGCTTAATTTTCTCTCAAGTCAATGTCGGTTCCTGTTGTTATGCCGAAGTGATGAGATATTTTTGCTTTTTTATTAGCCTTACGATTTTTTTGGCAGTTGAATGCGAGTAAGAAACTTCAAGCAGTATAGTCTTACTTATAGCTTAACGAGCCCACAGAGGTCTTATTTGATGAAAACAAGAACAAGAAAGGATTAATCTTTCTCACAGGTCCAAAAGTCCTTAAATCATGATGTCTTTCAAAAAGTATTGTTTTGAATTTAAAAGCTTAAAAAATCAATTAGATTGGATAATTGGTGATAATAGTGGTAAATCCGATCTTATATAAAGGTCTCGTRTTCGTTCTCTTTGATATGCAAAATTCTTACCTTAAACTCGAAACCCATCTAGAACATTTAACAGTAAAACGTGTACTATGCTATTCTTTACGTCAGAGGGGAAAGTTGATCTTTTTTGGGAGGGATGGATGATTTATCTTCACTTCAATTTCTCGCCACCAACATGCATAACGACTTCATTTTTAATAACATTTAAAAAAATGACAAACACTCCTTGGGGAGATTGAAAACAAGACCTAGCTTTTTATCAACATCAAAACAAAAAGAAATTCTTAAAACAGCAGAATYTGCAAACGTTTAATCATTTTGGGCATCACATATCTTTTTCTATAGACAATTAGATTGAAAAAGAGCAGAATGATTAGATTGAATATCTCTGAGCCTCCCACTAGCACCATCATGTTTTGACTATAGGTTTGTGGTCTTGGTTATCTTTGCCATGATGTATGAAATGCACGGAATAACCTTGGCTTTAAATGGTCTACTTTCCCATGGGGGAAGGAGAGGGGAACAGTTGGCTGTTTAAGACAGGGAACGGAGCATCAGGTGTTTACTCATAGAGTGCTTCATAATTTTCTACGTCGATGGTAATCTTTTTAGTAAAAAAATAATGAAACAACTACAGAGCTAGAAAAGGCGTTTGATTGTTAAATTTAGAACTGCCGTAAAGCTGCATGATGGATGGAAAATTCAGTGGACGAGCAACGCTATCGTCCATTATAATTACGTAGAGCGGACACAAAATTTAACTGAAAATGTTTGCTATAACACATCACGTTTACAATTCAACATTACGATGTGATTATATTAGATAAGGGATGCTTATTTTATACAATTTTCAATTTTCTTAATGTGTGTGTATATCGGTTTAATCTGATCTGTAAATGTGTATAAGATAAAAATGGTGAATGTGTACCGTATATAGTAGGTAAGAATCAAATGACTGCTTCCACCGGGAAACGCGCGGGAAAACGCGCGTGAAAAATGGTGGGAAAACGCGCGGAAAAAAATGGCGGGAAATGAATTTGTACCAGCTTAAATAGCCTCGCGCAAATTTGAAATAGAAAAGAAATCTTTAATAGACTGGAATTGGAGGAAATCGTTTTCCAGAATCTATTAAAAACTCTTTAATTTTTTGTTCTCCGCTCAATTTCATTTCCTTCAATTGCTTTCGCTGTTATTCTTCTCCTGAGATATATATCTTACACGAATTTGGCGCTATCATTGTTAGGGTTTTTCATCTTGTTATTTCTCCAAATGTTATTTGACTGAATTTCTGAATAAATTTGAGTCGAATTAAATCGGTTGCAGAACTGGATTCAAGAATATTGAGGGATAAACACGGGAAATGTTTTTCCGCGGAAGTCCTTAACCTCTTGTTTTTCTTATTGAGATAAATATTAGAGACTGAATAACGTCAAATTTTCTCTCGTTTTGATAGGTAATTGATCGGCAACTCACCTCATCAAACCATTCACCTACTTYAACAGTTTCAAGTTGCATCGCCAGGTAAACTCAACTTTAATCACTGACAGAGAAACTTAGTACATCGATACTTGTCTCCGACGAAGGACAAGCGTCCGAAACGTCAGTAAGTTTTTTCATCTTTTCACGGTGTATAATTTACCTTTTCATCATTACTGTTTCATTAGAAACACCGACGCAGCTCACACTAGTTTTTAGCTAGTTATATCTTTTTGACACGAATCACAGGTGAATGTTCAAAGTGAGTATTCTTCGACAATAACAAAATATTTTTATGCTATTTTTATCGTAAACAAAAGTGAATAAATCAAGTATAAAATACTTTCAAATGCTACCAATATATTACTACTTAACGCGTTTAGTTTCCYAAGGTCTTATCTTGTGAAATATTAGCTTTCAAAACAGATAAATCTTGCTTATATAGTGTAAATATACAAAGGCTTTAAAAGTGTTGAAACGTTTTAAATATTCAATACAAGTAATTTAAAGTTTGTCCAGACATGATGGCGAAACAACCAAACGATAATTTAAGAATATATGTAAGTCCAACATACTCAAGCAATATACTGAGAATCTTTTATTTTAACTTTTTATGTCAGAATATTTCGTTTAACGGATTCTTGTCAATCGTATCCGCCTTTCTGAATCAATATGAGCAAAAACAACAATAAAAATCAATAAAAGATCGAGGCCTCATAGTTTTGATCGAGGCTGATATAATCACTCCATCAAGAGTACAAATGTTTGGCCAATAGAAACTACCATTTTCCCTGCTTTTAAATATTTAAAAGTCACGTGATCTGACGAATCATCCATTAATTAATCTATCATATCATGAAGGTTTTGAAATTACAAAACCCGTGAAAATATTTTCCCGCAGTTTTACAATCATCTATTAAATTGGGGGTATATTGGAAATGTTTTAAAAAATAATGGATTATTATCTATGCAAATTTACGTATGCACATGCGCGTATCGTTTTTGGAAAAAGGCGGGRAAATCAATGTCCAAGAATTTGAGCTACGTTTTAAAAAGAAATTAGATTCATACATAAAAAATATAGTGATTTTATAAATATTATTAACATAGAGAAACATTTGATTTTTTTAGTTTGAAATTTTACGGCCATTTTCGGAAATTTGTTCAAGAAAATGTTTCCGGGTTGTTCATGTGATTGATCAAAAAGCAATATGCGCCATTATGCGGCTGTCTGCCGTCCTTAAGGACATCGGATACTGTACAATTATTTATGTCGGATTAGTAAAGCTTACACCAAACTCTAAGCCAACTTTCGGTTATAGTTGCAACAAAGAAAGATTTCATTTCAAGCTTTTTACATAAAAATACGATGAGACAACTGACAAACGTAACATAAATACAACCAAACAAGTATAAATTAAGTACTTCATACTCTCTTGATACAACAGATATGCAAGCTAATTTTCATGAAAAATTTTTTAAAGTGGTCACGGAGTCTTAAAGTCTTTATTTATTTTTTTCAATGTTTTTGAATAGCATACGTTTATAGACGCCTTGCTGTCGCTTGCTCCGAAAACTAGAAAGCAACTCCACTTACCCGTATCTGTTGAAACCCACTGTGTTTCCATTTTTTTCAGTAGAATCTAAGCTTAATGCTTTACGAAAACTCCCTCGAGCTATTAAAGAAGGCCAAATGCAAACGACTATAGCACAAGTTTAGAATCAACTTATTCATTGGACAGCAAAAACCTACGTCTAATGAGGAAATGGTAAGAGAATAGAATACTACTGAGCTGGCTCGATCTTCTCAGAGCAGCTGCGACAATCTAATCGGCGTGTTTTGCATCAAATCTGATAAAAGAACAGATATATCTCGCAGGTTTTCCGGCAACACCACCATCACTGTCACATACGATATTTCAAGTCAAGTTTATGAATCGTCTTTTCGAGAGTAGTGAATTGATTTAGTCATGTTGCTCTTTTATTTTACATAATGGAAATAGGATTTTCTATCTCTTTTTCAAGGAAAATGTATGCCTTTCGTTTGGATTAGGAAGTTTTAGGAGTAACTAGAAAAGAGGCAATCAGTAAAGGACGATGAGAGCACTAGGAAAAAAAACCCTTATAACTTCAAAGCGTACCGACTTCTAACGCCGAAGTCACTCTTTCAAAGGCTTAAAGATTACTTGGTGACAATATTAGCATCTTTTTAGTAAACTTCGTCTTCTATTACGCACAGACTTTAACTGTTTGTTGATGTTTCCAAGGCAATAAAAGACATAAACAAACATTGAAAGGTTGTCTGTTGATGCCCTCAGGACAAATGCCTGCCCGCCATGTCTTGACCAAGACTGTAAAATTGTATTTGTATCTATATATAATCTAAGTTCATTTTTCCACAAGGTCTTCTTACGACTATTATTTTCGTCCTAAAATTAGTGTTGAAAATGGTTTCTAGAAAACAGATTTTTTTTTTTTTTTTTTTTTGGACAGAATTTAAATATATATATAAATATATAATTTGCGATGATAATATATCGAAAATAGGTTTACTGTCAGTAATAATTGATGTTTTTCTTTTCTTTAAACGTTAAATAGTAGCTTAACGTCTAAAGTCAAAATGCTCTGCTTAATTACCTAGGAAGATGCTAGAATATGATGTTTTCGTTCACTAAACGTAAATATTTCACGAGTAATCAATAAAGAGAGCTGGAAACAATAAACAAAGTCACAGGAAATAGAATTAATTTTGTAGGTTTTTTTGAGGATTTTATGATATGAGGTCGTAAAGTTTTCATTATTTCCCATGCGTATTGTTTTACTTCTCTCTTTCTTCTTTATTTCTTTTATTGATTTTCTTAAAAGTGCAATATTCTGGGCTTCATTTAACACTTCATAGAATGAAAACAAACGTAGCACTTTTTTTTTTTTTGAGAAAACTGATCAACATGAGAACCGCTGTCCTGACAGAAAGATATTTTAAAATAATAATAATAATAATAATAATAATAATAATAATAATAATAATAATTTACCGTACACATATAGGAAAACAAATCGATAAAGCCTATTTCATTAAAAAAAATTGTTAATATAAAAACATATTAATAATAATAATAATAATAATAGTTAAAAAAATCTAAATATATATAATAATAATAAGATAATAATAATGATAATGATAATAATTGATAACAACCGATAGTAATACTAATAGCAATAATATTAATGACTGAATAATATTATAATAGTATTACTAATAGTTGATATTCACAATTATGACATGGCGTGCAAATGCATAACAATAATGATATTAGTAATACTATTAATAGCTGAAGATAAATATAATGCTTTTAATAGTAATATTAGAAATAGTTTTCATATTTATTAATATTTATTATTATCAGTATAGCAAACTGCAAAAATTTTCCTTGGAAGGCAGTTCTTAAAAAAGTGGATGAATAGTTTTGGCTATTATTCTACTTGCTTAAGTGTTTAAAGTGCTCGTGTACGGTAACTAATCGTCCGGTTTCTTTGACCAGTTAAGATGGCGCGTTGTAGCGATAGATAAATTGCAATTTGCTTCACCTTGTACTGAAGAAAATGGCTAAAAAGAATTTTTGAAGCAAAAATGACGTCGTAAAAAGCTTTTAGGTTAATTTTTAAAAATGCTCTCCTTCATGCAAATATTTGAACAAAGAAGTTTGACTGAATTATAATTATTAGACATAGCCTTCAGCTATTCATAAACTAAAGTTGAACTGAAAAGTTTGTATGACACACATGAGCAATTATTGTCATGTCTCGTAAGGAGTTTTTCACTTAGGATTCGATTAATAGTTCGGGTTCACAGTTGGATTGGCTGCTTAAAACGATGATGATGAAGATTGATAGAATTGTTCGGCACAGTAGTTAAATTATCAGCTCACTATCCAAGGTTTTTTTAGAGCAATAATGCATGATACCATAGATCATTATCATTGCAAAAACTAAACAACCGCAGCAATTAGTCAAAAGTGTGAAGATCTTGAGCACATCAGGCAGCAATAACTTAATGGCTTGAATCAGTAATAATAATCATAACTAAATATAGCCGATTAAAAAAAAAAACATATCAAACTCACGAAAAATTTCCATGAAGTTTTCACAACATACGCTATGATTCTTTATTGTAATGTAATTTTAATGTCAGACTTAATATAGAAGTGCTTCGATGGAAATTTAGCTAGGAAATTTCAATATTTGGTAAGCCGTCGTTTTAATTCTGTCACTCTTGAAAATGTTTGACGATAGAGTAAACTTCATGTCTAAATAGACTTTTAATTTATCAGCAAAACAAAAAAAAAAACGTCTACTGCCCGAGGCAAGGAAGCTGTTTTACCGTAATGTGAGATATATTTGAAAATACGCTGTTAAAGAGATGGGGAATGTGTGAAGTCCTAGTTTAGTTTTAACCCCCTGAGCGGTCATAGTTGATGCGGTTGAGCGCTCATTTTGGTTTTACTTCAAAGCAACGTTGTTTACTTACCAGCCATTATTTTATCTTCAAATACAATTAGCTTTAGTCAAAAAGTAGCCAGAATTCCATCGAATAAGCTCAGAAAAAAGAATCCGTATAGAGTGAGTTGAGCACATAAAGACTCTACTTATCAATAGAAGGGCAGCATATATGTCCATCAAAAATCTAAATTCGCACAGCGCGTTCAAAGTACACGAACCAAGTGTTTATACTCAATCAAGACGGGGAAACAACTACTTACTTGAATTATAGGATTCTATACAGCTTAGTTTAAGTGGGAGAAACGTTATCCTTTGAAATTGCCTGCAGGACTAGTTCAGTTATCAGTTATGCGAAGTGTGAGGGTAGCTTGTAGTCTTCACTGAGCAATAGTCATCATGTTACAGTAAAGGCTCATCTTTTATGCAACAAGAAGACGATGTTTGGCATATCAATGAGTGACCACTTTAGTGGCTGCGAATAAATAGGATCTACAGCTCGACAGGCATCTAATCCCCAGAACAATCGCCACCCAATGATCMAACTCATTTTGTCATTATTGCATTTACAGAATTCAATGGTAATTTAAACAGAATCGTCATCTTAAAGACGTAAGCGATTCTTTCCTGTCCTTTTTCACTCAATATTGAATCAAACATGAGTTAGGAAGTTCAATATTTGGGATTTTTTTGAGGTTAAAACGGGAAGCTAGAAGACAAGAGTCCTTGACAAACTTCAAAATTTAGTCAGAAATTCTAGCTTTCATGGCATCATGTACGACAAAACTGAAATATGTCTGGCTAACTGACAAAATATTACAAATATACCAACTTATGTCAAAAATAATTCTAGAAAAGAAAGAAAAAACTGAACTTCTAGTCTGCAACTAAACCAATATCCTCTCAAAAGGGCAGTTTTTTTTTGGTTATTAGTCTTATATCGCTAAGTTGGTTTGGATAAAAGCCTTGTTGCCATAGAGACGAGAAAATTACTTTTCGTCAAAAAAAGTTGTATTTAACAGACCACGTGACCAAGATTGAATAAACTCAAAACACCTGTGTTACACTTTGTTTTTAAGAAAAGTTAAGGGTATTGAGAACGAGCTAAACAGAAAAGAAGCAAGATTTTGCCATCCAAGATCGAATATAATGTTTTCCAAATACAAAAAAAAAAAAAAAAAAAAAAAAAAAAAGAAAAGAATTTTTTTGTTTTGGATTTTTTCAACAGTTTCAACATAAAATTGCTAGTTATGAATGTTAAGATAAAAATTATAGAATGAAAGCTGCACATTCGGCGTAAAACACGTTTTACGATCCGCACGATCCAGGTAATCAAAGTCCAGTCCATTCCAGCTATGCTCGGTTCCAAATTTTCCAAAATAAAAAATCTCTCATAATTCAGAATCTAGAAGGATAAATCAAATTTTAATGGTTGGGTATGTTTTTGCTTTACATTAAGATTATTTATAGCCTTTCAAAAGTTGAAAATTTGGCAAACTTATTTTTTGTGATTTAAGGCAACAGTTGACCAAGTAAGCTAAAACATCCTTACTAACAAGCCAATCAGAATGTATTTTTACCTATCCAATCAGGATGCACGTTAAAAATCCTTTATTGACCATCTAATCAGAATGCACGTCATAACATATCCTATAATACCAAATTAACTAGGCCAATCAGAATGCACCTTAAATCATCATCCTTATACTAATCATCCAATCAGATTGCACTTTATAACATCCTCTACCAACCATCCAATTAGAATGCACCTGAAATCTCTACCAAACATCCAATTAGATTCAACTTATAACTCTTCTACCGACCATCCAATTACAATGCACCCTAGCTCTTTACATATAAGCCAATTAGATTGAACAAGTGCACACTAGCAACCAACCAATCAGAATGGGAGGAAGGCTTTTAACTGATCAGTGTTTACCAACATGTTCGACCTCAAAGAAAAGACAAAAAGGATTCAAAAACATCTCCTTACAATCAGTAAACAAAACGAAAAAAAGATTATAACAACAAGATAGACTCCCTGAACTCAAAGTTTAATATATTTTCAAATGAAAATCGATGGTATCGCGTGACGAGATTAAAATTAAAGGTGTTTTTGACAATTAAAGAGATTGTCAAAACTGATAAATCTAATCATTATTTTGATCGATTCTCCTTATCCTGCCTGCTTTATTTGATTTTTACTTATATATCTCCGGCTTAAACTCTTCGGACGTCATATAGAAATACAAGAAACTGCTTTAAGAGGAAATTTCAAAATAACGATTCTTTCGTCTCGATTGAATTCTAGCCTCTTTCCGTATTGATAAAGATTTTCTTTAGATTTGCAATTATTTGGCTGATAAAGTTTTATAGCGGCTTACCGTATCAGTATTAGAATCATATTCTATAGCAAGTGGCAAGGAAAAAGGTTCCAGGTAAAACAAGTTCAGGTCACGAGAAAGAGAAGGGACTGCGCATGCGCGTATTCTGTTTGCACATTTGGATCTGACGTTCTCCAAATTGTTAATTTGTTGGTCTTCCCGTTGTTTTTCTCTGTAGGGGGGAGGGGTGAGAAGCGGCTGTACAGATACTTGATTTTCAAATAAAATGGAGGGACATTGTCACGTGACTGGTGGAAATTATATTGCGAATGGTCATGCGATCACGCGATTTTTTTTTTTTCAGTAGAAGTCCGTGACAGCAAGCTCTCATAGCGAAAGTGAGGCCTATCGTTTGAAGTGCAATCATCCTTAAGTAAAGGGCAATCATTTACATGTTAGAGCAATAAACCACATTAATTAAAATAAAAAACCCGCAAGCCTCACGTCAAACCATACAAGTGACGTCATTCAACCAGTTTTCGCAAACTCTATGACGTACTGACCATTTTATCTTAAGCGTAATGTTTTCCCATTTTAGATCATGTGTTATTCCTTTGGGAATAAGATTCTTTGTCTGAGTTGTATCCATATTCATGTGTCTTCTCAGTCAAACATTAAACAAAGAAATGATACTCTAGGGAATGACACGTGATCTGAAATGGGTCAACTTTACGCCCAAGGTAAAGAGGTCTATTAGAAAAGGGAACTGGCTTGATACACGAAATGTCGCTTCCCGCTTTAGATTATCTAGGAGAAGCTAATCGCATCATCATCTTCATCATAAGTATTTTTAAAATTTCTATTCCAAAGTACAACATTCCAAATTCACACACAGAAGTTTACAGCGAGAGATCGAAAATAAATGCACTAAAATTTCTGTCAGGGGAGAGAATAAATCTAGAATCAATTTCCCTCACTAGACTTCAAAATATTTTTTGCTCCGGATTCAACACATTATCACAGATGTCCATCAAAATTGATTGCATGGTTAGTTTATTTCATCTTCCCAGGTAAGCACTTTGACAATTGATCGTTCTGCCTTCGCTGTCAATCAACTTCCAAAAATACGTTTTCACTCAGGTACGGTTTCACGCCGCTAGCGCGAGAAAAAATCTAGATCACTCTATCTAGATTTATATAGCAACTTTGGTCTCACGGCAAAAAAAAAAAGCATGAATGATGTATATATATATATAATTTTTTTTTTAGTCAGAAAATCATTATAAATATTATATTTCGGCATAGCAACTTCGGGACTTCGTATGAAATTTGCGCGGGTAGAATATTGCTTCATAATTATACTATGAAAATGTTTATAGAATCTAAAACAAATGGAAATGAATACAAACAAAGACTCGCTGAAATCTTTTTATGTTTTTGTTTTCATGCGATGGATGGAGAATATATTTTCTTTTACTCATCACATTTGCTAGCCGGCTGATTTCAATTCTAATATCTCTTGCATATATGATATAAGAAACTTAAGAACTTTCTTTCAAATATTTAATGATTGGCTTTCTAACAAATATTTCATATGCGTGTTTGAATATCAAAAATATATGCCCTTGTTTTAATATGAGGAAAGAAAATACAACCTACAGGATATATATAWAAATAAATAAATAAAACCAACTAAGATAGCATAATTAGTTAGTTTCCTTAGGTCTCTCTAGCTCCGGTCTTTCCTTTCAAACTCCTATTTTTTTACTTTCGCGTACTAAATAAACATCTAAATAGGATTTTAAGTAAGCTTAGGTTTTGAATACTGAATGAATATTTATGAGAAAGCAAAAAGTAATATTCCTATTGCTTTTATTTTTCTTCCTATTTTATTAAATGTTTAGAATAAAAGTTTATACCTTTGATTCCACGAGTGATAAGTCCTTGCAGCGTTTGATACCGACCAAGAATAGTCACAGTTAAGAACTAGGAATTTCTCGGTTTTTCAGCTTTTCTTTTCTCGCTCAAAACTATTATCTAGAGCAAGGCACGATGTGAAATGGTAGCCGTAACTCTGTAGAATTAATTTCCAAATGTGCGGAGAAGAAAATTTGTCGTTTCAAAGTCACTTTAAGTCATGTTGTTTGACACTGTATGTAAGATGTGGCGTAAATGGTACTCGAAGTCAAATGGCAGCTTGCAGATCAGGTTCAGTTTAAGGTGCCCTTAATCTTATACAAATACAATTAAATATCGAAGCTGGTAGCTTTCATTGAGATTCAGAGGTCTTAAACCAAATGAATTAGAGACAGTTTACAGTCTGTCATGTGACTATTCTTTTCCTGATTTCGTCAACGCTGATTTAATTACCTCAAAAACGCGATTTTCAGCAGGGAAAAAAAAAAAAAAATGGAGAAAATCAACGAGAAAATGTTCTAAATTTACTCCATTATATGTTATTTTTGCTTCAAATTTTGCCTTTATCACAGAGAAAGTTTTTCCATGCAATATAATAGGTTTCGACGTCAAAAACATGATAACTACACTGAGCACTACCATATTTCCGAAGTTGACTGAATTTCATTGTGTTTTTGTTGATCTTATCTTATTTCACCTAACGAAAGAAATACTATCTGCTAAAACATTTCTAAGGAATAGCGTATATGAACACAGCTAAGTGTGCTAAAAGCTATATTCACTGCGATAGTCAGGCAAAATCGCATCCTGCTTGATCAAAAACCTGACATGCAAGTTCAACTTAATGAGAGGGCCATTTACATCGAAACCACACATACTCACCTAAATATCTATAATGTTGCTCTACCAGGTTGATGAGCTTCCCTGTTTGATCAATATAAAGACTTGAAACGACGAAGAACTGTTTCCGTTCATCTTTGAGCCTGTACTCTCAGCCGCCATTACGTGACTTCACAACATGGAATGAAAAAATAATAATTACTTCGAGCCAAGTCGTCGAGTTTTTTCTCTCGTTTAGATTGGTAGACGAACTTTTGATTTGTCTATTTTTCTGGCTTTGTTTCGGAAGTATAAAAAGAGCAAAGAAAGTACTGACGAAGGAGCGAGAATTATTCGAACCAGTTAGATCTCATTCAAATTATTCCTCACTCTAGAGTTACTATATTCAAAAGTGCTTTATCAGTCTTTTTGACTTTGAATATTAATTCAATAATCGCATGATCTTAATGAAATATAGACAATACTGATAGCTCAAGGCAAAACTATTTAAGTTGCTACTTAAAGTGATTCATTCCCAGGTATTAAGTGTTTTTTTCTAACCCCCCTATACTATCTCGCCAAGTCCCAAGAAGCATGGGCTTCGAGATATGATGACGCCGTTTAGGGAATCGTTTTTGTTTTTTGTTTTTTCTTTCTTTCTTTCTTTCTTTTTCTTTTCTTTTTCTTTTCTCTTCCTTTGTCTTTTTTGACTTAGTTTCTGCGGGAGGTCTTTCTCTCTTTTTCTACCTCCCTTCAGTCGTTCATTCTTTCATTCATTCGGCATTATTTCCTTTTTCATTTCTTTCCCCCTTTCCATTAATTTCTTTCTCTCTTTCCTCCTTTCTTTCCCTTTCGTCCATTTCTAAATTCAGAATACTTACCTCGACAATATTTTATCTATTCCTTAAAATAACACCAATATCTCGATATATTCCAGTTATATAGATACAAGCTACTACAAGACCATAAAGGGCGAATCGTTAGACATCTAGGCCAGTCAAAAAATAATCTCAATCCCCAAGCTACTTGACATGAACAGATCGTTAGCAAGACTACTAAAGATATCCTGCATGGATCTCTTGTAAGTAATTAAAGCTTGACCTGAATTGCTAGGTAATCACCATCCGGTCGTCCTTCTCTTTCTTAATCACAGAATACAAGACTTGTGGTTACAACACAAGGTGGTCTCTCTTACATAATGAAATGCATTCTCAACTCAGAAATTCATTCGGAAATAGCTAGCGCAATGAATAGTTAGGAATCAGTGATTTGAAGGAGAAATGATGAGTACAACAAGTAAGTAAATGTTTATTGTGTTTTTAAATCGTAAATTTAGTGCTCCGGCAATTCCAAGACAAATATGCTGTTTGTAATAAGAAACTCGCAAGAGAACTAATGAAGTTGCCAAAATATTACCGCCGTTTGGTTGGTTGGTATAATGGTATAGCCAAGATGGCGCCGACTATGACGTCACACTAAATCTAATTTGGCGTGTAATAAAAGATCTATTACAGAATAGAAAAAAGAAATAATAATAAGTAAACTTTTCGTATTAATATACATTGCAACCTTTTCTCGAGCTACAGCGCGATTCTTTCTAACAGTTCTCTCGCAACTCCTTAATCGGTTTATCATGCCTCGAAGCAAGAACGCCGACAAATTCGAATGTTGGCGGATCAGTAACATCTTACAACAGAATGAGAATGATTACGTTATGTTTAGGCATCTATAATTGAGCATAAAAGGATTGTAAAAGAATACATACTGTGTTGTATTTTATTTTCTAGTTTTTCGATGTTTTAACTTCTCTAACATCTTCCTTCCTTCCATTGATATTCCTTAGCATGGGTTCCCTGTGGATTTCCACTGCTTCACTAACGAACTGAACTGCCTAGTTTCTTCCTATGGGAACCCTGTGTATTTACAGCTTGTTCCTTTGTACACATAACGCATTGTATGGGATTCCTGTGGATTTCTATCCATGTTTCTTCTGAGCATTTTCACAAATAATACATCTAATGGGATTCCTGTGGATTTGTTGCCTCTTTATTTGCATCAATAATATACTGCATGGGATCCCTGTGGATTTTGCTGTCTAATCACGTGTTCCCTTCATCTTGATCAGGATCATTATCCGAATCCTCATCAAAGATATCATAAGTCTCAATATCATCATCCCCCTCAAGCATTTCAAGAAACCCCTTGACCTCTTCATGTCCGTCCCACTGAATGACCCCTGCATCGTCCTGCTTATCGTTTCCCTCTTCCTCTCGTTGTTTTTTGATTTTCTCCACTAGGTTGACCGTATGTTGAACCATGATGTCCCTGATCTTGTCGATAGTACCAGGTAAGCACCATCCTTCTTTGTCGTGACATTCTGTTTCCTGGAGACGAGAGAAAAACAGTCCAAAATCTCAATGAGAACAGAGTTTAGTTGGGGTAACTGGAGCAGTTTTCGTATGAGGCGGAAACAAGATACGAAATGCTGTAACACTGAAATGGCTTCCCAGTGTTTTCCAGTAATTCATCCAATCACGACACGTTACAGTACGATTACGGTACGCTAACAGTACAACTACGAATTTGCCGTACGTTTTCCACTCATATGAAAACCGCTCTACAATGGCTTGCATTTAGTTTTGCATTGAACTTATCTGCATTTAGACAAGTCAGTCAAGTGGTCTAAAATTGGACAAAAGGGGGAACAATTAAGCCAGTTGGCTTACATGACAACCTACCCACCTGTCCATCATTGACAGAAATCAACTCCTGTATCTCCGCCACATGGACATCACACAACTGATAAAACATCTGTTTATGCACAGGGAGTTTATTAGCAGTAAAGACATATGGTAGGTCATCATCTTGTTGAGTGTCCTTCTCTTCGTCATTGCTGTGCGCACTCACAAGCTTGACCTCCGGTTTGACGCTACTTTTGCGGAGGACTGGGATACTAAGGCGGTGAAAGTTCCGCTTCCGTGGGATAGGAAGGTTTTTTCCTTCAATTCGCGAGCCAAGTCGGAAGTCAAGCATTTGGTATCTGAAAAAGCAAGATTAATCCAATGAAGTGGTGATGCAAAATGAAAACAAGAGATCAATTTTATCGTAATGTGAAATTAAAATAAAACATTTTGATTCTCTTTTTTTTTTTTCGAGGATTTTTTTCCAAGTTGTCCGTCTTTCTTCCTTCCGCAAAAATTAACAGCATAACATTCCGTGATCAAAGAGTTGCTAAAAGGAACCACTGCTTAYCCCCCACAAACAACCTACAATTTGCCAAGCAATAACAGAAGTACTTACATTTTAGCACTAGGATTTTTTCTTGGGTCGTAGCCAAACTTAACCCATAATGTCCTCCAAGGACCGTTGAGAAAATAATACGCGACCAAAGACAGAAGCTGTTTTAAACGTCCATGTGAAACCTGGCTCATATGTACTTCAAGCGCATTACGAGACCAGATAGGACGGATATTAAACAGTTTTTGAATGACCTCGACTTGGTTGTCTTTAACACATTCTACTATTTGATGAACTTTTTCATGTGGTTTTTGAGGGACTTTTTTTGATGCAAATGATACCCCGAAAGCATAAATGGGTTGCCTTACTCTCATCTTTGAGGTAATCGATCTGTGGAAGGAGAGATTATAAATCTGAATTTCATTTTACTTTAATAAGTAAGAGATAGCTGTTATTACGATTAAGTGTGGCAAGGCACAATTACACTTGCCTCTTACTTCTGAGGTCTCAGGTTCGATTCCTGGACTCCCCATTACATGTGAGTAGAGTTTGTTAGGTCTCTACCTTGAGTTGAGGGTTTTTCTCCAGGTTCTCTGGCTTTCCTCCCTCCGCAAAACATAACATGCTAAATTCCAATTCGATCTGAGTTAGCTGTGCCCTGACTTTGAATAAGATTTGAAGGCTTTTTGGATGATGAGGACTATCTCCAGCATAGGGCTCCCTCTCTTCCTTCCTCCCCAGTTCCATAACTTTCCTCACCCCCTCCCCCAAAGCAGCATTACACAGGCTTGAGGACTATTACAAAAGAGCCTGCACAAACGTCTAATAGCTGTACTACCAGCTATTCAATGAATACTGCTGTTTTTGAAGACCACAGATTTATTTGTACAGGCTCAGTTTTGTTTATRAGTCAGCTATTCAGATACCAGGATTTCAAAACATTGGTATTATTCCAGTTGCACCATCTTTACATTACAGTTGACTTTTGTGAAAGATTTGTTCTTAAATGAGTCTAAACCAAGCAAGGATCATACTGGTATTCCCCATTAATACATACCCTGGTTTATCAAGTTCTTTATCTTCTTCTATTATATGTGGCTGAAGATCAGGCTTGAAATGATAATTTGCTGCTGTTTCGACTCTTGTAAACATTGATGGTAACATATGGATTGGAGTATCTTTCTCAAGGATATCAAGACCATGTATGCAATTTAAAGGGTACTCATTAGTGTCTCTTGATAGATACTGGTAGTCTGCAAAACTACCAAACCTTAAACAGTAGAAAAAACTTTAGTAAGTACGGTATATGTAACTCCGAAAATCCTTAGACATTCATACATGTATCCTCCCCTTTGGATGCACATCAGCTTTATTAAAATAAATCAGGTTTTTTCCAGACCCCTTTTTGATTGGTCAAGGCCAGAAGGTTGGCATGGATGGCTCGCCTCTCACCGCTGTGGTCCAGGTTCGAGCCCTGGCTCATGATCAGACTGGGTCATATGTGAGCTGAGTTTGTTGTATGTGTTGTTCTCTCCCTTGCCACGAGGGTTTTTTCTCCATGTTCTCTGGTTTTCCTCCCTCCGTAAAGATAAACATGTGAGTTGAGTGTTATATGTAGTAAATATAGAACGTAGTGGTAGTGCATGTGGAGGGAACCTCATGGAAGAGCCCCATATGGGAAGTGGTGGTYGTAAAATATAAGTATGAGTATATATAAGTATTGATGGGTTGCAAGCATTCACAAGAGAGTTAAAAGACAAAAACAAGGCGGCCATTGTGGTACCGTTAACAATGGATGCTAATGAGAAATCTTTTGTTAAATGGTACCAACATGGCTGCGATGACGTAACGTGCAAACGATGAATAAGCTAAAGGGAGAGTCAAAATAACAAAGGGTTCCTACTTATAAAAAGTTAGCACTTGTTGAAATAAAAATTAATTTAAAAAAATGGCGGGAAATATATTGTGATCATACCTGTACGTTTTATCAACAACTCCGAGGATTTCTTGTTTATACTCAAACTCGTCGTCAGTTGACTCACCACTCGTGCACTTCTTCTTTCTTCGTCTTACTCTCAAAAGAAGGTTAGTAGAAGGCTGTGGATCACCGCAAACAATCTTCGAGTACGGATCTTCGGGACGGAACGTCATTGGAAGACGACGAGTTGGCCTAGAAAATATCTTAGAAATTGCCTCTTCACCTCCCAGAGTTTCAATCATCCGCGATGGATTTTGCACGAGTCCTGGATATTCAACTCCTATAAGTCTTTTAGGGTCATATTCCAGTCTGCTGTTGGAGTTTTCATGTGATTTTGATGAAGAATCGCATTCCTTCATCTCGTCCGCCATTTTGAATTAGTGTCTAAAACAGCTGATCAAAAGTGAGCCCACGTTCCAAGTCCCGTATGTAAACAAGATGGCGGCCCACATGGACAAGATTCACAAGGCTCTTGAGTTTGAGATCCTAGCTAAATGCTCGACGACAAAGGCCCGAACTGCTATCCTAACACTACCACATCATAAAGTAGAGACTCCGGTTTTTATGCCTGTTGGTACTCAGGGAACGATGAAGGGACTGACTTCTAAACAGCTGGAAGACATGGACTGTCAGATTATTCTGGGTAACACTTATCATCTAGGATTACGCCCGGTGAGCTATACAGTAAATTTATCAAGGAGCTGATGTTTAAAGTATTAATGTGGATCTTGGTTTGTTGCTCGTATGACCAGCTGTTTTGAAATGACTAATGATGAAGATGATGATTGTGATGGTGATGATTGTGGTGATGATTATGATGGTGTTGATGGTCGTGCTGATACATGACTTGCTAATGTTAATACATGCTGATGATGTTAATGATGATGGTGATACATGATTGTGTTGATGATGATGATGGTGATGATGATGATGGTGATGATGATGATGGTGATGATGATGTTGATAAATGATAATAGAGATGGTTATTTTAGTGATGAGCATTATAGCAAATTTCCAACCGCTTATACACTTGAACATTTTAGGGAACTGATATATTAGAACAAGCTGGTGGGCTACACAAGTTTATGAATTGGAAAAGAGCTCTACTTACAGTAAGTGTGCAATCAAATTATGCAATGTGTGTAGGGGGGAAGGGGGGGGGGGTGTTGTTGGATTTGGTCAGCATCTTTTATTATCAACGCATTGTTTGGCAAATGTACAGTAATGATACATCTGTTATATTTGACTCTATTTTGTTTCTTTTTCTCTCCAAAGGACAGTGGAGGATTTCAAATGGTTTCTCTTATCAAACTCTCTGAAATGACAGAGGTAAGAGAGGAGGAAAATTGTGCCCCCCTAACCCCCCCCCCCCCAA